ACACACACACACACCACAACCACCATCATAACCACCTCCTCTTTGTGCAAACAGCTCCTTTACTGCTAAAGTGCCCCCTCTGCTGCCACTGCACTCCACTCTGATAATCCACTCCACTCCTTAAATGTCCACTATGCTGGCTTTCTTCTCATTTTTGCTTTATTTTTTTGGGACTTAAAAAGAAGTAACATCTTCCAAGTTAATGACTTGCTTAGCTCTGGTAATCCTGGTAAGTGAAAGCAATTGACTTAGCACACGTTAGGTCAATGAGAAGGAAGTGTCCCTGTCATATTTGCGGACTGGTGCAGTAATGTCAAAGAAAGTAAAAAAGAAAAGAAAAAAGTGCTGCTGGATTCTTACCATTTGTAACCACATTTTCTTCATATCTCAGCCAAACCGGAATGGGTGAGGATCTGCAGCAAAAATATTCTAGGGGGTGTGGGTAATTTCTGCCAGGACTGCACAATGCACATAGGTCATATGGCTAGCCGTTCTGTCATGCTCATAGAATAATATATTTAACCTCATCCTATAATAGTTGTCATAGTTGGTAAATGTATCACTGATTGGCCAGAATCTGCTTCATGCCAACCTCTACCTTACTCCATGCCTCTTCTCTGATGGCCAGGTACGACAGCTGCAGGAGAACGCTGCCCAGCTACGCACAGTATATGCAGGAGAAAATGCAGCTGCCATTGTCACCAGTGAGCAGGAAGTGATGCATTCATGGAAGGAATTGCTGACCACATGTGAGGAATGCAGGCTGCAGATCACCACTACCAGTGACCGCATGAAGTTTCTGGGTCTTGTGAAAGATCTGATCTCCTGGATGGACAGTGTCATCTGTCAGATTGGAACAGGAGAGAAGCCCAGGTAAGGGGCCATGGAATGATGGCTGACATAAGCTGCCTTCAAAAATGAGACAGTGTACTTGACAGAGCTGTCATTGGGAAGAGCCATGCAGACAAATCTTTCCAAAGAGTCCACAGGCCATAAAAACTTTACAGAGATTCTAAATCTTTGCTTTTCTCTAACCTAAAGAAACGGTTTGATTGGAGTATCAGAAGGTCACAAGGGCAGGTTACATATTTATTCCAGTACAGATTAAAGTGACACTAAACTCAGGAGTTAAATCTGAAAAATTAATTCATGTACCTTAACTATCAACAATACTGGACCTTGTAGTCCAGCTGTAGATCCTCAAATCATATCTGAATTTTGTGCTGACACTTCTGGAGGGGGGCTACTTTTGTTCCCCATGGTCCCTGTGTGTGTTGTAAAGTAGCCACCGCACTAAGCCCCCTCCCATGATGGACTACAATCTCACATTTAATCTACTAATTTGTATTGAGATTGTAGTCCATCACAGAAGTGAGCTCAGAGCTGCCGCAGGAAGGAATGTGGAATCATTCAATAAACTCCTGGACGAGTTCCTTGGAGACCATAACATAAAGGGGTACAAGTACTCTTAAGAGCAAAATCACACATGGACTCATATACACGCTCAAACATAAATGCATACGCGCAATAGGTTGGACTTGATGGACTTATGTCTTTATTCAACTTCAAATACTATGTAACAACACACACAGTGGAAGATTTTTTAATCAGCACCTGTATGTCTTACCCTGATTTCCTTAGGATAGCTGAAGCCTGGTAATCTAGGCCAGTGTGTTATTTTGTTATATCACATCCAGTTCTAAAACCGAAAGTTATGCCAGACAGACAGACATGCACCAATATTCACAGGTTTGGTGGATCTTTTAGAAGGGGATTGTCTTCTGCTCGGCCATATTGTCACAGCAGTTGCACTATACTCAGTTGAAACTTGCTAGTCAGGATGTGGTGAGCACCAGCAAAACAGTCAACACAGCACTGCGCTACAGAAAATGTCACCCCTTGTGTACAGTCTAAGAAGGTGAGCATACAGGGAACGAAGCCCCTTCAAAAAATTCATTTTCACAACGTTCGTTCCATGTATTAATAGTTCATGGGGTCACATTGACGATCAATTTCAACTGCAGTGATGAAAGGAGCAGCATGCAAATGTTTTCTCGAATGAACGAAGTTCTAACAGTGAATGTGGTTTTCATTCATTCCAAAATCAAATGTTAAAACCAAACTACATTTGGAACAACATTCTACAAGTCTGTGATCTCATTATCAAATGTTCTGATCATATTTTTCGTATGAATGTTCTACCAGTGTGCGGCCGTTTAATCTCTCACACTGCGTGGAAAGTTCTAGAGTTACGTATTATTCCTCCTTTCCTTTTATTTTAGGGATGTGTCCGCAGTAGAAGTTCTCATGAGTTATCATCAGGGTTTACAGAGTGAAATAGAGGCAAGAAATAAGAGGATCGCAGACTGCGTAGAGCTAGGAAAGTCCCTGGTCCTGAACAAGAGGCCGGCGTCTGAAGAGGTACGCGTGTCAGAGCGCAGGATGTGAAGTATTCGCTTACACCAGACACCCGCTGTTAGCTGTCGGAGCTGCACACACTTCAATAGACAAAGCCCTTGGAGTTATTGAAAAGGGACTGCAGCCTTTCAATGATACAAATACATATTTGTGAAAGGAAGTTTTCAAGGAAGAAATGTTATCAGTGTTTGTTACTGTATTCAAATCCTGGTTTCTCTGTCTAGCTGGTAACATGCGTGGCACTTGTACATCACAGCTTGTGCACAGTGGCAGCCATATTTGCACATGACATATTTTGGCTACCGGGCAGGATCTGTCTGAAAGCAATAAACTCTCCACAGTTTTCTAATTAGCCAAAGACCATGTCATCTGGGCTGCCTAGGATTTAGGTCACATTGGGGGAGATCTGAGCAGCAGATCTCCCCCAATGTAACAAGAACTGGTACTTTTTGCCTGATGTGGGCATACAATGTGTTTGTGCCGCAGTATTTAATTCGAAAGACCGTTCTGCTGCCAGACCAATCTGTGTAGGAACTTCAGTGGCTGTAACCTTTAACAGTAACTCTTCTACCAAATGGTGTATAAAGGATACCTGGTGTTTATGGCTGAGCTTCATGTTTTCATTGATTGATTTCCATGATGGTCTCTGGTTCATTGGGTTGCAAAATCAGCTGCTGAAGAGTGCTATGCATTCTCACACACTGGACAAAACGTTATCCAACTTCCAAGCCATTACAGTCCTGATACATGTTCTCCTTAGTAAGCAATTACAGTCCTGATGCATGTTCTCCTTAGTAAGCAATGACAGTCCTGATACATGTTCTCCTTAGTAAGCCATTACAGTCCTGATACATCTTCTCCCTTAGTAAGCCATTACAGTCCTGATACATCTTCTCCCTTAGTAAGCCATTACAGTCCTGATACATCTTCTCCCTTAGTAAGCCATTACAGTCCTGATACATCTTCTCCCTTGGTAAGCCATTACAGTCCTGATACATCTTCTCCCTTAGTAAGCCCAGATGAAGAGGGTATTTGTATGAACCCCAAAAATGTATTGGTTATTTCTATACTGTCCCCTCAACCCTACATTGAATGAAGATGTATCTGGGCTATTAAACGGAGTCTGGCGCTTCAATTCACAATCCTGCAATGGGACAGCACAAACCAAGGAGACAGCGGGGATCCTCTGAAATGCAAAACTGCCTGTCCGGTAGTCAGATCATCTATACTCAGAGGCGTCCCGAGGCTGGATGATATCCCCGGCAGTGACGTCACGCGCGGCACCGCTGTTACCTGCCGGCGGCCATCTTGGTGATGGTCGCCGGCAGAGAGAGGAGGGGGCATCACCCGTCGGGATGAGGTATGCCGCCGGGTCCCCTCCTGTCCCTCGGACAACTGTTGGGCTCATGGCCCTTGACGAGTGGCCAAATTTTCAGAGGGGGGGTGACACCAAAATGACTGAGTCATTTTGGTGTCATCCCTCCAATGGTGTCACCCGGGTGCGGGCCGCACCCTCCTTGTGACGCCACTGCCTACACCGACTCTTTTGCATGCTAATGGGCCAGCCGCACCAATAGTGTAAGCCAGGACATTTATTCCAATTGTTTCCAGCCCCTAGTCCATTGTCAGCACAGCTGTAACATGACACATCTGAGACCCCCTTCCAGTGCTGGTGACTGCCACTGACCAGGAGGCATTGCTAGTTCTGGGGCAAACATTCCCGTGATACTGCAGAGGTGTGCTCTGTCCTAAAAATAACACGGCTTCCAGCTCAGGTAAATCAGTCTTCAGTTCCAGAAGACAGTCAAAGATAAAAGTGCTGACAGGTTCCCTTTAAGGAAAACCCCGTTGTGTTTTCGGGTAGGTTTAGTTGTCTTATCTAAAATGTCCCGAAATATGATTGCAGAACATTAGGAAGTGTGCGCTGCAGCAAAGCCTGACACGCTCCGTATACAATATGGATGTTTTAATGTCCATTGTGATTTCAGATCAAGCAAAGCCTGGACAGGCTGATGGTGAAGAAGAAGGAGATGCTGGACAAATGGAACAAACACTGGGAATGGCTGCAGCAGAGTAAGTGTGTGTGTGTGTGGAGGTCGCCTATTCTGTGAGCTGAGTCACGGGCACGCAGTACGTCGGCCAGGCCAGCTTGGCCTTTTTATTTTTGGTTTATTCTCTATTACTTTGCAGAATGTCCTACTTAATCTCCCTCCCTGATAGAGAGAATGAGGCGGGCAACCCCCTGCCAGCTAATTAGGGTTACCATAGAAACCTTTACAGCTCCCACTCTCATCTCCCATCCCCCTGATGAATGCGGGGGAGACACAAGAGCAAAATGTATGGGGGCTTTAACTGCGCTTATCGTTTAATGGCATCAGCAACCAAAAAACCTACCGCCAGCTAGATCGGTGCCACAAAAGTTTAATATCGGCATGCTGCTTCCATAGAACGGTTAATGGTGCAGATTTATAGCTGATGATCACTTCCATGAAAGAGGTAATGGTGCAGTATAAGGGCTCGTGTACACGGACGATAATGCAGGCAAAATACTCCTGTATTTGTGGGTCTTGGAAGCCCCAGCCAGTGGCCCGCACCTGGGTGCCACCATTGGAGGGGTGACACCAAAATGACTGACGGTCATTTTGGTGTCACCCCCTATGAAAAGTCGGGCACTCGGTCCCAGAACGAGAGCCTGACAGTGTCAGGAGAGAGGAGGGGACCCGGCGGCATACCTCATCCCGCCAGGTGAACGTCTCCTCCTCTCTCTGCCGGCGTCCATCGCCAAGATGACCGCCAGCAGGCATCAATAAGACGACTGCGAATGCACGATGACGTCACAGTGGGGTGGCACTCGATCTCCGCTCCGGGTGACACCCAGCCTCGGGACGCCCCTGGCCCCAGCTGCTGCGTTTTTCTCCCCATGGAATTGTATGGACATAATGCACTGTACACAAGGTATACGAGTATGACAGTGTACTCTCAGCTATAAGCAAGGGTTAAGGGGAACTCAAGTCTCTCCCTCTCCCCTCACTTACCCTTTTACATGGCTGGAGTTCTGCTTTAATGTATGAATGCAGTTTTATATATAACACATTACATATGTTTATCTGGAACACCTCCCTCCTATTAAAGCTGAACTCCAGGCAAAGGGCTAAATACACAAATATCTAACACATATATGCAATCTATGGCAGCTGTTTTATCTGCCAACAGGTTTGTATTTCTGCTCATCACCATCTGAGATTTTACACCCCTGCCATCCTGGAGACCTGACTTTTCTCTACTGCAGTTAAGTAATACAACGGGTCTTGTACCTCCCCCAGCCTTTGACTGGGCAGTGAAGGAGAAAAGACCAGACTGATGCTCATTGGTTCATCATCTCTGGTACTCTGCTCTCCTCTTCTATTGGCATGTTCCTTGCTGACACATGAGCACTGCAGCACAGCTGATTGGCTTCTTGTGCTGTTCTCCCTCCCCTGGTCTGAGCTAAGCTGTACAGGGGACTGCAAGATGCTGATACCAAAACAAATTCAGGTATCCACACTAGTTGTTCTTAAAAATACAGTTAGAGATCTATGTATAAATCTTCTACCCAGCTATGTGCTGGACGAATAACACTGACACTGGATTCCCTCTGTTAGATTGAGCCAAGGAGCATTTTTTAGGCTCCTCAGCTCCATCTAGTGGCGCCATTTGTTTAGTGTATGGCTGGAAGCGCGTTAATGGTACAGATGTTCATCGGGTTATGATCGTTCGTTTTTCGACTTTACGATTGTATACGATAGCAGCGTGTATATACTGTATACAGATGCTCCCTGGATTGTTTATATACTGCACTGCATATATCATAGCTTAGCCTACCTAAACAAGGCTAAAATACTTACAGTAACCTACAGATGGACAAAAGCTTACTGTGTTGGATAATAATGTGTTGAATATCTCATGTATATACAACACCTCGGTTTGCGATATGATCGCTCTATGTTGGGTTTATCGGAACATAACCCCATCGTATAGCGAGCAGTGTCTGTATGTGAATGAATAAACACATACCTGCATGTGTTGGTGTATTTTTGTCAGCCTGGAGTCAGTCCATAACATATGTTTGTTGGGGATTTTAACATAGTCCCCCTTGCCCTGTGAGATTTCTCAGGACATGGATCAGTTATGGATTTCACCTGCAGCGTGTTCCTCTGACAACATGTTATATTGACATACAATGGGGATTCACTCCTCTGTCCAGTCTTCCGAATAATACAGACAGCTGGAGAACTCCCAGTGACATTTCACTGTCCGCTCTGGATTTTCTTTGGTGCAGTGTGTATCGGAGCTGCTCTGTGGTCTGCTATAGAAAGAGCTAGGCATTATTTGTAATTCAATCCATTTATTAAATACGAGATAAAAAGCTTCCTGTGAATGTACCCTGCTGGTTCTAGAACTGCTGGAGGCTGGCAGCAATATAAAATCTAGGAACTGTAGGCAGTCAGTGTGCCCAGGCTCTTTTGGAAATGAATTTTTCAGTAAGCCTCTGGAGAATGCTTTTCATCTAACTCTGACTTTTGTGGATTTGTTCTTGCAGTGCTGGAAGTGCATCAGTTTGCCCAGGAAGCTGGAGTAGCTGAGGCCTGGCTGACTGCTCAGGAGCCCATAGTGAAGAGCCCGGAGCTGGGCAACAGTGTGGATGAGGTGGAGCAGCTGATCCGACGGCATGAAGCCTTCCGTAAAACCGCAGCCGCCTGGGAGGAGAGGTTCAGCTCACTGAGACGCCTCACTACAGTAAGAGAAATCAAAGCTTTAAAGCAAAAAACAGGTCTAAAGGGCGCTTGTTATGGGTGTCAGACAAAATGATGTAATATAGCTTTACCACAGCCTACATATGTCTGTCAGTGCAGCTTTCCTTTAACCCTTAAGGAGCAAGCTCCAGATGCTTGTATTTCAGTTAAGGACTAGTGATGGGCTCGGGCGTGTTCGCAGCTCCACGTGCCGAGCCCGCCAGGAAGCTGACAGCCAATCACAGGCACTGAAACATTTCCCGATCTCTGCAGCTGTGGACCGGGAACATATCTCAGTACCTGTGATTGGCGCTGTCAGCTTCCTGTCGGCTCGGCACGTGGAGCTGCGACCACACCCGAGCCCATCACTATTAAGGACCAAAGCAATTTTTGCTGTTTGTTTAACCGCAATTTCCATCTTTCTCATTTATTGCACCAATACATATTATATACCATTTTTTTAAAAAGAAAAAGGGGCTTTAATTGTAACATATGTATATATAAGTTCTCATTGAGCACATGACGGAAGCTTAAACCCTTAGGGACCCATGACAAAATTATTCCATTATGGGTCCTTATGGCATTAGACTCTTGGCAGATTCTCTGTGGGCTCTTCCAGATCGACTGGTTCTTCTGTCCCAAGGACCAGTTTACTGTTCTGCCTCATGGTCTTTGGCTGTAACAGCATGGCTTTTGAAGCCCAGTTCTTCAGGGACAGTGGTCGCTCTAACTCGGTGATCCTCACGATGTTAAAAGTCAGGAAGTTGACTTCTTGCAAGTATGCCATCACAAATGAAGGGCATAATTTGGTGCACGGAAAGAAACTTTCATCTCAAAAAATACTCTGTGGGAGAAATCCTGACCTTTTCACAATCAGGCCTGATTTTCCAACAATTGGCCCTAGGTAGTATTAAGGGTCAGATCTCAGCGCTTGCGATCTTGTTCTAAAGACTGCTAGCCACTCATTCTGTGATCAGTACTTTCATACACGGTGTTTTTCATGTGGCTACCCTTGTGCCTCCACCTGCGTCTTCCTGGGATCTTAGTTTGGTTGTCTTGGCACTCAAAAGAACGCCCTTTAAAACCTGGCAGGGATGTGATTATTTCTGCACCCACTCACAGGGTTGTTTTCCTTGTTGCGATCACCTCTGCGCAGCATGTGTCTTAACTGGTGGCTTTGTGACATAAAGAACCTTGTCTGGTCTTACACAATGACTATGTAGCATTAAGGCATAAAGCCTCCTTCCTTCCCAAAGTGATTTCAGCCTTTTACCCTGACCAGGTTATTGTGCCCCCATCCCTCTGCCTGGCCCCATACATCAGAAGAAGATTTCCCTTCATTGTCTGGATGTAGTTTCAGCTGCGCTCATTGTTATCCCTGATGATCTCCTTAAAGGGGAACCAGTTTCTCATTCCACCATTGCTCAGTTACCTTTCTGTCACCCTCTTCAGGATTTGTGAGAGCCTCTTAAGCTTTTCTGCACCAGGCAATTATTTTCCAGATTTGCAAGGCTGCCACCTGGTCTCCAGTTCACATTTGTACCAGGTGCTTGTTATGTTCCGACCTTTTATGATGCCAGCTTTGGCCTTAGAGCTCTTTGAGCTGCAGAGAGTCCCCAGTTTGTTTATGGCTGTCCCATTAGCATTTTGTTTACAGTGCTGCCCACCCCTCCGTTAGACTGCTTTTGGACATCCCAAATGTCTCTGAATTCTGTGTCACTCAATGAATGATAAACAGGACTTTTTGTGCTCACTGTAACATCCTTTACTTGGAGTTCATTGAGAGACATAGGTCTAAGCCTTCTGTGTTTTCTAGTCTTGTTATCGGCTCGGTGGGAGGGCATATCCAAGGCTGGTCACTGTTATTGGCAGCAATTTAACCTAAATGTGCCCTGAACTCCAAGAAAATGATTTTACAGTTAGAACAAAGCTGCTGTGTTTTCTGAATAATAATATAAATACATGGTATGTTTTATGTCTGCATGGAGTTTAGCCAAAATGTTCATGACTACATTCCAGCATTCTAACCTCTTCTGGGTGCTCCCTTTTCTAGCTCGAGAAGATGAAAGCCGAGCAGAACAAACAACCCGCAACTCCTCTCCTTGGTCGAAAAATTTTCCACGATACCACAGACTTTTCATCTCGCCCATCACCTCTTGTCCAGCAGCCGGGCTATGAAAAGTCTGAGACTAAGCTGGAGCAGAAGGACACTCTGGCTGTTCCGAATGGGGTCCAGCCAGAGAGTCACAGAACACGGACAGAGAGGGGTGAAGCAAGGGTAGGGTACGTGCGGCAAGAGATGAAGCCAGAGAGACTTCAGCCAAAGATAGATCATGTGGAGGCCAAGATAACAGAGAAGATTGTGCCTGCTCAGGAAGCAACCCGCGGGGACAGAGCTGAGAACAGAGTTGCTCAAGGTATGGCCACTTTAACTGTAGAGAAAGCAGAGGGCAAGTCAAGTCGGCATGCTGAGAGGAGGAGAGAAAGGCATGATCACAGGGTAGAGCGCCAGGAGTCCAGCGACCATGAAGTTCCTAAACCAGAGCATGTGGAGGAAAGGAGGAGGCGAGACCGGCATGACAAAAGGCTGGAGAGACAGGGGTCCAGTGAACAAGAAACGCCAAAACAGGAGCAGCCGGAAAGAAGGAGAGTTCGGCATGAGAGGAGGGTAGAGAAACCAGAGTCCGGCGAGCAGGAGACCCCAAAGAAGGAGCCTGACAAACAAGTAGGGTAAGGTTCTCCGTCTGGAATGACATTATAGCAGATGCCTGTGTGTTAGAAGAAGCCATGCATGTGGACTTCACATTATTGTTTATGATTATTGACGCTCTAAAGATTGTTTGGCAGGATGAGCAACACTTGTTTATCCCTCCATTATATCAGAGCGTCAGGGAACAGGCCATATTCTGCCCATCGCACCTGAATATTCGATTTCTTTCATTCAGCCCGTGGGCTGCGACACAAAACAGCATGGTGCTAATGTATTCTGACAGTGACAGCAGCAGGTGTGCTGCTGTCAGAATACTTGAACTGTGACTGCAGCTGATTGGTTGCAGTCACTCTACGGCCGACAGTATTGGGCCTATGATCTCCGTGAGTCGGCTGAAATTGTAACAGTGTATGGCCAGCTTTAGCTTATGACTGTTGAGCTGGTAGCATATTTTCCAGCAGAAGCCTTTCCAGGCACATAAATGATGTGCTGATCACTTTCTGGAACGTTTGGCAGGCAGGATTTATTGGGAAGGTGATGTACCCCTGGTGATGACCCACCAATGAATCCAATGCTGGTAACCGTTATACTGCACTCTCCTCTGACAACACGTGGAATTCAGATAATTTCTGTTTGATTTGTTTAAAGTAAACCTATAGCCATATTCTGGCCTTTATATATTTACATATTACTAACAAGTGTTAAATGAGTTATAAGACAAAGACATGCCCTTACTGATCTCTGTAGCTACAGGTACTGAGGAGGAATGTATCCTTCAATTTCACTGGCACTGAAAATCGCAGCTCATCTCTCCTTGCCTCCTCTGGCAGCCTGCCAGCATTCGAATGTAGACAAAGAATCGGCGCTGTTTAGAGGAAGAATGCAACTGGACCTCAGTGTGTCTGTTGTGATTTTTAAGGCTATATTACTCTATAGTACCAGCAGCTACAGAGGTTAACCAGGTCTTGTTTTAAAGCCATTGTATTACTTATCTGTAAAAATTAACTCAAGGCAACTGAACATGCTGTATTTGTTTAAGACATTTCACTGGTCATCCGACTAGTTTCCTCAATTTACAATGACATATACAAAAATTATCTGGGAATAAATATGGTGAATGTTCATCCAATTACCATAATCTGTTGATCATAACCAACTCATGGAGGTAAGGTGTTGATTGCATTTGCATGACCGGAGCTAGCAGGTATTGTTAGGCCGATGTCTCACACCCCCCCAGCCTCCCGTCCTCTATGTTAAAATGGAGAAGCCAAGCTTAAATAAACGGCCCTTTTTAAAAACTTGCTAGCTCCATTCATGCAAATGCAATCAACACCTCACCTCCATGCAGTCTCTGACCCCATGCTACACAGATATTTTATTTTCCTGGCACATCATGGCAGCACACAATGGGGCGGAGCGTTAACCCATTGTGTGCTGCCATGAAGATGCACCAGGAAAGGAAAATTACCGATAAGTAAGTATACAATTTTCCGTTTTCTTTGAATACTTGACATTCCGATACCCTTTGGTGATGCTCATGTGCCACAGCACTGGTCACGTGGTCTCTGCTAAAGTGACTCAGGAAAAATTACACTCAGACAGACCCAATCAACAGCTCTACCAGAAACATTGTTCCTTCCTCCTGAGCAAGACAGCATGGCTAAAGCCACAGCATTGGTCACATGACAGGCGCTAGAGGGGACAAAGGTTGTAAGGTTTCAAGGAAAATGGTACTTCTTGGTGTTATACCATGGGTTATAGGGAGTGGGTAAGGTTAGATTAGGGCTGCCATTGCAGCTGTTTTTCCAGTATCCAATCTCCTGAAGGCAACTGCATATAACCCATGGTCGAAGACTGGCATCCTGTGTCCTGTAATGTACAATTACCAAATGATCGCTGTCATTTGTCAGTAACCTGCTAGTAACTAACAGTGTGATCCTTCTCTCTGTGTAGAAAGGCGACACTTGCCGATATTGTAGAACAGCTACAGGAAAAGGAAGCGTCACAGAATAACCCTGCAGTAAGTACTCTGTGTGTATGCAGAATGACGTGTGATGATGAGGCCAATGTGCCCTGAGGAAGTGGTTCTTTCTGGCAGAGCATTGACTTTGAAAGTTCCTGATTGACTGTTTCTATACCTGTGTGATCTGCTCTGTATCATAAACAAAAAAGGATCCATCATCCTTTATATACAAAAAGAAGAGGGAAAAACAAACATTCTTTAGGATAATTTATTTAACTGTCTGTTATTTATGTAGAAATGTGTATTTGTGTTCCTGTATGTACCACTCCCCTTCCTTGGAGTGCCGTATTGGGTCTGAATTCTGAAAAAAAAGAGAGAGCTCCCATGATGCATTGGGTGCTTGTCCTGCTTTGCTCCACAACCTCTGCCGTCAGCCAGCATAAGGGGTGACCACATAGATACATATTTTGTAAATGTCAGATATTGAAATTATATTCAAGTTTCTCTCTCACTGCAGGCAAACGTAGTAAAGTATTGCTTGGACTAGAATTCATCAATATTAATATTCTAATTCATATTATGTAGTCATAAGAGAGAAAGTTGTGCTAAGGTTCCTTTATTCTTCAGAATCTGGATTCTCCGGCCCGCTTACCTAATGGCGTGGAAAAACTTCCAGACAAAACGTCGAGGCCAGACCGGCCAAGAGCACGTGACCGACCCAAACCCAGAAGAAGGCCTCGTCCTAAGGATCCAAACCAAGCACCAGGGGAGGCCCGGAGATCCCGCTCAGCACCAGCGCAAAGCAGCGTCCCTCCTCTACCTCCTCCAACCCACACTGTACAACAGGAAGGATACCTCATCAGGAAACATGAGCTGGATGGACCAAGCAAAAAAGCCTCAAACAGGTGCAGACAGGGAGCCCCTGCACGCAGACAGGGAGCTGTCCCAGCACAACCATAAACTGCAATAAACATAAATCTAAACGTGCCAGACATGGTGATGTTAGAACATTTGACCTAATCTGCCTTTATATTGGGGGGCTTAATCTTTCTTTTTTATTTGTAATAATTTATATAGGCCCAAAAAAGTTTCAGTGTTTTTTTTAAAGAATACATTTCACATAAATCCTTCCCTCTGAAGGAGCTTGCAGTCTAATGTCCCTATCAGTTATACTGCATATTCTAGGACCAATTTGGGTGAAAGTCAATTAACTTACATGTATGTTTCTAAATTGTGGGGGGGGGAATAAAATTGAGGACATCCATGTATACAGGAAGAGAAAATGTAGAGATCTGCAGTGCTGCATAGCAAGAATGCTAACCATTAAATCATATCCAAATGGGTGAAAGTCTGTTAGTGTGTTCTCAGATGTAAACATGTTCCACAGAGTGCCATAAGAACACACTAACAGACTTTCACCCATTTGGATATGATTTAATGGTTAGCATTCTTGCTATGCAGCACTGCAGATCTCTACATTTTCTCTTCCTGTACATTTTACATTCCCCCACAATTTAGAAACATACATGTAAGTTAATTGACTTTCACCCAAATTGGTCCTAGAATATGCAGTATAACTGATAGTGATATTAGACTGCAATACTTGCAATAGTAGAGATAGAGAATGGTAGACTGCATTGGATGGTAGAGATTTTTTGTCCTCTGGTCATAAGCCACTTGGTCCACCCATGGACAATCAACAAAATTGGCCCTTGTGGCTTATGACCAGAGGACATAAAATCTCTACCATCTAATGTTCCTTTGTGGTGGAAGTTGGCCAGGAGCACAAACGCTACTATGGTGCTAACTGTTAAGGCATTTAAGTTTGAGTCTCCATCTACTAAGAGACAGGTAAAAGTAGGATTCTTATCAGGGCATGCGGGAAAACACCAATACTTTCATCTGCGTCATTGTTTTCAAATAGGCCTAAGTGAATCAATGACATGACTTAGCCCACGTTTCACTAATGAAAGCCCAGGCCACACTGCAAATATGACTGCAGTACTTGCATAGACTTCACACAAGGGTGGGGTTTGTCCCATGAGCTATTCCTATGGTGTATGTTCCCTGAGCTCTTCCTATGGTGTATGTCCCCCGAGCTCTTCCATTGGTGTATGTCCCCCGAGCTCTTCCATTGGTGTATGTCCCCCGAGCTCTTCCTATGGTGTATGTCCCCCGAGCTCTTCCATTGGTGTATGTCCCCCGAGCTCTTCTTATAGTCTATGTCCCCTGAGCTCTTCCTATGGTGTATGTTCCCTGAGCTCTTCCTATGGTGCATGTCCCCTGAGCTCTTCCTATGGTGTATGTTCCCTGAGCTGTTCCTATGGTGTATGTTCCCTGAGCTCTTCCTATGGTGTATGTTCCCTGAGCTCTTCCTATGGTGTATGTTCCCTGAGCTCTTCCTATGGTGAATGTTCCCTGAGCTCTTCCATTGGTGTATGTCCCCTGAGCTCTTCTTATATTGTATGTCCCCCGAGCTCTTCCTATGGTTTATGTTCCCTGAGCTCTTCCTATGGTGTATGTTCCCTGAGCTCTTCATATGGTGTATGTCCCCCGAGCTCTTCCATTGGTGTATGTCCCCTGAGCTCTTCTTATAGTGTATGTCCCCCGAGCTCTTCCATTGGTGTATGTCCCCTGGGCTCTTCTTATAGTGTATGTCCCCCGAGCTCTTCCTATGGTGTATGTTCCCTGAGCTCTTCCAATGGTGCATGTCCCCTGAGCTCTTCCTATGGTGTATGTTCCCTGAGCTCTTCCTATGGTGTATGTTCCCTGAGCTCTTCCTATGTTGTATGTTCCCTGAGCTCTTCCTATGGTGTATGTTCCCTGAGCTCTTCCTATGGTGAATGTTCCCTGAGCTCTTCCATTGGTGTATGTCCCCTGAGCTCTTCTTATATTGTATGTCCCCCGAGCTCTTCCTATGGTTTATGTTCCCTGAGCTCTTCCTATGGTGTATGTTCCCTGAGCTCTTCATATGGTGTATGTCCCCCGAGCTCTTCCATTGGTGTATGTCCCCCGAGCTCTTCCATTGGTGTATGTCCCCTGAGCTCTTCTTATAGTGTATGTCCCCCGAGCTCTTCCTATGGTGTATGTCCCCTGAGCTCTTCTTATAGTGTATGTCCCCCAAGCTCTTCCATTGGTGTATGTCCCCTGAGCTCTTCCTATGGTGTATGTCCCCTGAGCTCTTCTTATAGTGTATGTCCCCCAAGCTCTTCCATTGGTGTATGTCCCCTGAGCTCTTCCTATGGTGTATGTCCCCTGAGCTCTTCTTATAGTGTATGTCCCCCAAGCTCTTCCATTGGTGTATGTCCCCTGAGCTCTTCCTATGGTGTATGTCCCCTGAGCTCTTC